TATTATTAACCAGCTTCGAAAGCTCTATCGATTGATATATAGTTCGGTGAATTTTAATTTGTACTCGATTTTTGCGTTAGTGGCACATTACAAAACTTTTTCAAATTATATTATTTGCTCTATTCTTGAATCTTCAATTTCATCTAAAATATAAAATAAATTATAATTTAATGAAATATTCTCTTTCACATACCACATTGTGGCATATGATCATCATCTTGTCGTGTTCCATTAACTTCAATTCCATGTTTATCAACACACCAACATTGTCGTGGTGTATCTGTATTACATTGTCTTGCTGCATAATATCCATTTGAATTACATCGTGGTCGAAATATACTTTCTATTGATTTATTCCAAAATATTTTATCCAAATCATGATTATGTAATTCACAAGGTAAAACTAAAAATAAAATATTTAAGCAAAACATTATATAAAAATAAAATAAAATTCATTAACTTTCATTTGAAAACTTACGAGCATATTGAAAACAATTACACCATTCATATGAAAATAATCGATGATCATCATCATGATCACATCGTTGAAAAAATCTATCCGTACATAATTCATCTTTTAAATGTTCAATACTATTTAATTCATCATCGTTTAATTGAGAATCATTTGTTATATCAAAATGATAAAACATATATGAAACAATTGGATGACAATTATCAATAGAACCTTAAGAATTTGAAAAGTAAATAAGAAATGAATTCTTTATTCTTCATCAAAAAACATTTTACCATAATATTGACTTTTATGTTCAAGTTTTTCGATTTGATGAAACCAATCAAAAAATCGATTACGTAATTCACGATGAACTGATCGTGGACATTGATCAAATTCTAAATGCATAACAAAAATGATTTTGATTTGCAATTATGAACAACAAACAATGTTATTTTCTATATATTCATATCAATAAAATCCAATATATGATTTGCTAACGATGAAATATTCTAATAATAATCAGTTGATTATTCTCTTACATTGCCTTTTCCTAATCTTTACAGTTCTAGCCGTGGTCAGAAAAAAAAACAAATCCATTATTCTTACGTCCTCTTGGATCATCAGGACTATCATCAGCTAATGGATCACTAGACAAAAAAAAAATAGTCAAAAAATACATTTAATATTATTCATAAAATATCTTCTACCTAATGACATTTTCTTTAACACTGAAATCCTATATAACATAACATTTATAATTAATTCAAACAAGACGAAAGCAAAACCTATCATACATACCATCCATTCGAAATTTTCTTCATCTAAACCTATTAAAATGAATATTTTTAAAATTATTATTACAAATATTTGACTTCTACTTGTATCATTGCATGGACATTCTTTATTACATGCAATTTGTATATCTGTATCTAATAGACAATTAAAATATTTGACAAAACAATGTGATCGATAAACACGTCCATCAGTTCCACTAAAGAAAAAGACGTCAAAATTAAATAAATAAATATATATAATGAAAATAGACTATTTTTCTATATACCAAACGTATGTCAATGGTTCACTTAAACATGATTGACATTTTGTAGCATCAAATATTTCATCGATTAATGATGGATTTAAATTCCATTCAGTAATTTTGTCTGGACTAGAAAATATATTAAGATTATTTTTAATGATTAGATAGATTTGAATTTTTTTCTTCTATTTAAAACAATCTAAATAATTCTATTAGAATTAGTTTTATTTGTCTAAATAAAATATAATTTTAATGATATAGATTTTATAGTACAAATTTATTTGTACTTCATTCTCTATACAAATCAATACAATGTTGATCATAAAAAACATGATCTCATTATTTTTTAAATTGAAAAAATTTTTCTTTTAATACATTTTCAGTGATGTGACCAACTCATGGATCACACTACAGTGTACAGTGGATAGTCAGACATAGATTCTCAGAAAATCTATTTCATCTATCAGACTTTGTAGTGCTAATCATTTTAATAAAAATAAAATTTTCATTTGACAAATAAATGACGGTGCAAGAGTCGAAATAATACTAAAAACCTTTATAGCTCCAGCGAAATATCTACATAAGATTTGCCAGTATACTCTGACTCTGGTAGCATCATTTATTTATCGGATCAAAAATTTTTTTTTTAATAAAATAATTAACACTATAAAGTCTGATAGACGAAAAGATTATTTGAGAATCGTTGATTATTATGACTTAACCAGTCATGGAAGTATCCGATTATACTCTTAAATCATGTTTTCTAATGCATTTTAATTTGATTGTAATGAAATGATGTTTAATTTTTATTTTCTTTTTAAATGAATTTCAAACATATTTAATTTCTAATCTTACTGTTGTTTAAAATAACTTTTTGGTATACAACGATATTGAAAAGCAACATCGTTTCGACGTATACAAACATGTTCATTATCACAATGATTAATATGACACGGTCGACCTATTTAATAAAATATGAATTGTATCCTAAAGAAATATTTTAATCCAATGTTTTAATCTACCTAAATGCTTATATTCAATTTCAGTTTGTATTGATAATTGTATACAAAGAACGAATAATACGATGAACATGTCGGTTATACAATAAACGAAAGTACAAACTTGTCCGAATGAAATGAAAAAAAAACGAACGTTATGTTCTGTTACCATATCTTCAATTTTTTTTTTTCGTCTATTCATAACTGACACTAGGTCGATAATAATCTCCATAGGTTGTATTTTTCATCTTTACATTACGCAAGAAGATACATGCCGAAATACTTTGACTATACAGGACTTTATTGAATAAAATAGAATAAGAACGAAAAAAAAAAAAAAACAATCAATGAACGGTTTTTTTAGTGTCTGGTTTATCAACAAAAAAACATCAAGTAAAAACAAAAAAGAAATCATCGCTAAATCGAACAAACACCAAAGTAGATAATTGATTATTTTACTGTTTCAGAAGTTGACTTTTTTTTATAAATTAAACTGACGTGTATAATCATAATCAATAGTTGGAATGACTGCTTGTACAAATTTAAGAAAAATCATAATATACATATGAACTTCAAGTTCTTTGCCTGATTCTGCTACCATTTGAATAAGTTTTTTCATTACATCAGCATGACGACATGGATGTATACTAGGCATAGGTCCTGTTCCAGGTAAATGTGGATGTTGTTCCATTGTTACGGTCTTTTTTGCATGATCTTGACTAATATCTTCATACATTTTTTCAACTGATAAAGGTTTATGATGTTCATCATAACCATTTAACCAAAGACGTGGTGTTTGATAATATTTGTCATAAGTTATATTAAGACTAATAGAAGAAAACATATTTTAAAAAAATCCTGTTAGTATAATCCCGGCGGGATTAAAATGTGAAACATAATGTAGCTACTCTTGTTAATCACAGAGAGATGATAACCAAACGTTATTGATATACAGTCTGTGACGGGAAGGAAGATTGTTGATAAGATGTCTGTCATGGTTTCCAACTCGGAGCTGTAACCGGTTCGATCCGGTCGTTCTTCACCGGTTGGAGAATATTTTATAGATGAGCCATTTTTTTCTCTGATAAAACATGTTAAGAGCAAATTTGCTTGTTCTTATCAAAATAATCAACCAGTGTTATTTCAAGAACTATCAATCTTATTTTCTTCTGTTCGTCCACACTGTTGCATTTCTTTAATTGAAGAATATTTGATTTTTTAAAAATTATTATAGCTCTGCTCTGACAAGCGTCTATGGGAGGTTGAAATTTTTACTCCTATAGATTCAATACTCCTTGTAGATCGTGTTTCATAAAATAATTGAAAACTCAAACTTACTCATATGTACGAGTTGCCAATGTATTCGGCCCAGTATTTTCATCAGTTTTTAATGTACTTGCAGAAGGTTTTGTAGTTGCTGAAAAAGAAATTAAGATTCAAATCGTTTTATTTATATTGAATAAATTATAATCTTTATAAAAATAAAAAATAAAAATTTACTCGATGCTTCTAAGGGATCATTATTAACCATTCCTGTACGTTCAAATTCTTCCATATCA